TTATATCTAATAAACGAATTAAGTTATATTAAAAATTCAAATGTCATTTACTATTAAATTAAAAACTCAAACATTTTATTAAATTAAAAATATGTGTTACCATTTAAAAAAACAAAGTTGACCCCCTTACAAGGCATAAGGGATGAACTTAAAAAGTATTATATAGTTAAAAATTCAAGAATAATGTGTAACTAAAGATAATAAAAAAAAAAAATGTTTAAATTATTATTATTCTGCAAGTAATTGAGTGGGTTATGATAAAAAAATCACCCTGTATATGTTATCATTTAAAAAAATGAAATTGATATGAATAAAGTTATAATAAAAAAAGGATAATTATATAAAAACTTCATCAATTGATAAATTAAGAAAGTATGCAACTAAAAAAAAAAAATTATCAAGAAACATAGTTTTTTACCAAAATAACAATCTATTAATTATTTAATGAATTTTTTATTTTGGATATCGATTATAATGCCAATAAATTGTGCCTTAGACATAAATGTGTCAACATAGAATTTTAGATACGATAATGTACCAAAGGAAAATCTAGAAATAATGCTTCTATAGTAATAATACAATGTATTATTACTTTATTTAATTTTTATTTAAATATAAATATTTGATTATTAAGTACACTTAATGCAAAGTAAAAATGTATATACCTTCTCTGATTTTTTCATTCTTTGGTAAGTTTATAAACCATTGTTCATATGGATAATTTGGTCTAATTCCACCATATTCTTTAGGTAAATATTTAGGGGATATGTGCTTGTGTAGAGATTCCATTTTACTACTATGGAAAAACAACTACAAAATAATATAGATTAGCATCTGTTGCATAAAAAATGTATTAATATTTAGGGCAATCAAAATCTGATAAGACACTTGTTTTCTTAAAAACTATTTTGAAAAATACACTTTCCACCTTTTTTCATACATTCATCATCATTGGTCGTTAGCACCTTTTATCACCACGTTTTATACACCTTACATTATGATAATCTTTAGACTTCTTTTCGATTTACCTTTTTCCTAGCCTATTATAAAACGCAACATATACCTCTTAAACTTCACCTTACTTACCGCACACTTTGCTTCTTTACACAAGCATACATGCTTCTTTGAATTTAATTGATTAACCAATAAAAAACATCTTTTAATTAAAGCGATTTCTGGCTCATTCTACACCTTATTTTTTCTAATAATCTGGTCTCTGCACCAGGCTGTTTCGCGATTGTACTGTCTTTAACTTAGAAACTTTTTCATAATTGGTGTTTTTTATCTAACTTTCTCATTAGTACGTGTTTAAAAAATAATTATATTATCTTTTTATTTATTTATTTTACTTAAGTTTTCAAATATTTAATAATTATTAAAACAATTTATTTTTATTTTTACGAGTTGTTTCGGTTAAGAATTTTTTTTTCATTTTTTAATTGGAGTATCTTTTTTATAAGTTAATTTCGAAAATATACCTTAGAACATCTAGAGGTTGAAACTATTGGTAAAACAATAGTTTGTGACGTGTAACCAAGGAGATCGTAGAGTGTATCTTAAATTTAGATAGATACGTGTTTGATTGATTGCACAAGATACTGACAGTTTATTGAAATTATTTCCCTAGCACATCTAGCGGTTGAAATTATTGGTAAAATAATAGTTTGTTAAGTGTCACTAGGGATTGGTTCTCATATTTTATCACATTATACATATTTTATTTAAACACGTTATAAATATAAAAATTACCAAAAATATTTAAATATCAAGTGTAGAAAGGAGTCTAGGGGAGATAATATTTTAAGTTTACATTTTTTTTTTTTTTACAGTTTTATTTTTTGTAACTATTTTTACAAGAGAATAAAATAACTAAATACATTAAAATCAGTTCATTTATTTTTGAAAATACTTATACAAGAAACGATTAAGCGAGCTGGACACAAGGTAAGAATTATATTTCTAAACATGTCATAAAATATTAAGGATAGATTTCAAATAAATTGTAAGTAGATTCTCTTTGAAAGTAATGAAATTATATTGCGACGTGACTAATTTAAAATATTGCCGTTACACTTAATTTGATTTTCACCCTTATCACAATTAAATGCGTGCAACGTGAATTATTATTTACCAGCGATATCAAAGTCGTTATAGCTAATAAAGCTTAGCGCCCAATAATCGTACAGTAGTATTTTAAAAAAACCCCCATTATTTCTTTCATGTAGTAAAATTGATAACAAATTAAAAGTCATAAAATTATCCCCCAATGTAATTATTTATTTTCTATTATAACAGAATAAATATTATTTATATTATTATTACCATTATTCCATCCTCTTACTCATTTTATTTCACAACAAAACATATGTNCTCATTTTACTTCACAACAAAACATATGTAGTTATTGCCCTCCAGTTTTTACTTTATTTGACAATGACAAGATTTTTAAACCTAAAATGTTTTCTCTGTACAAAAATTACAAATTTTAAATAGTTTTTAGAGAATGATTGTCTTGTCAGATTTTGATCGCCTTGTATATAAATAATATGGTAATATAATAATATAATATGAATTTTTATTTATATTTTTACCATTTCGCTATTTCTCTTGCCCAATAAAGGTTTAAATAAATTGAATACAGTGTCAAACATCCATGATTCGTTAATTATATGAACTGCGTGAGTTTTCATAGGAATAGATGACTAAAAATAATAAATAAAAATTATTAATACAAGTTTTAGTGTTAAAATTTATTATGTTTTTAACACCCTAACTCCCTTCTTGAGCCACTGTTTGGTTGTAAATAATTATTCTTATAGTGTATATCTGGCTTATGTATAATTTATTCTTTAGTGAAAAATCAACACTTACTCTGTTATTTAGGGGAGTGCAAGGCTAATTGTTACAATTTTTATACATTTATTCTTACTCTGCTCTTTTATTTGTATTGATCAACACTTATCCAGTTTTGAACAAGTTGTGGTTAAAATAGACAGCCACAATGTCCAATAAATGCCGAAATAAAATCATTTTCTACTAAGATTTTTTCTCTTTTTCATCGCCCACGTAATACCTAAATGAGTATTGAGACAATATTTGGTCCAAACATGACCAAATGTAAAGAAATACAAATAAGAGGACAGTGTTAATCATAAAAGTACGCGTGAGTTTATAAATTAAAAAAATATATAGCCTTGGTCACAGTGTAGATATCACTACTTTCATACGCATATTTTTTTTTGAGATTGATATCTCAAAACTTGGCCCTTTTTTGCAGTTATTTTTTTTTTATCCGATTAACCACTTATTTTTTAAAATTCTTTAAAGATTCAAATTCAAAATAGAAATTCATCACTAATTTAGTTTTTATAATACCAGAGGCAACAATAATCTGATTCAATGGGCCATAAATTATTTTTAACGTAGTTATCAAAAATGTTTTCTACACTGATCGTTCAACATTATATGATAGTAAACTTGTTTGGAATATAATAATATGCGTCAATTAATAGCCATCAAATACTTCTACATAAAGCAGTAAAATAACAGTAACAATTTTCTTTAAAAATACTTAACATTAACTTGATAAAACAGAGAAATGATTTATCGGAAATAAAAATTATAAAAATGAATGGTTTTTAAAGTTTTTCTATAATATTATCAAGGTAAAAAAAGTTTATTAACCCTGAAGGAATGAATAAAAATTAATTTAATTACATATTATTGTAAAGTCTCTGAATCAAACTATATATTCTATTACAAACATTAAAATATTTAATAGTTTCCGAGAAAATGAAAGTCCTTTTTAATGAATGACTCTGTTTATTATAAGAAAAACATAAATTCAGAGTTAAAATTTTTAATTAATGGAACTTTGTGTTTAAAATCTTCCTATAGTATCAAAAACATCTCGACTTACATCTGTGACTCCGAAAAAAAAAGAAAAATGTCTACTAAATTTTACTATTAACATGCAAAAATATAAAAAAGGCGAATAAATTTTCATATTTGTAAGATATCAATATTTTCACATAATTTTTGAATCAATAATTTATCAATGATGTAATATTTATATAGTCTTATTACAATTAAAAATTAATAATCAACTTGCCCTGCTCTCTTTCGCTATTAATTCATTAAAAAAAATATCATCATAAATTAAAAATAAATACTTCATATTATTTTTGAGTTTATCGTCATTTCTGTATCAAAATCGCGTATCTCAATTCCCGATATTATTCAGAAGAAAGAACAGTACACCATTTTTTTGGTAGTTCTTAATGGAAAGGGATTTTTTAATATTCCATTATCATATGAAATATACGTCAATATTTAAAATATATAATTATCGAAATACGCAATTTTTCATGTAAAAACTTATTTTTACTTTTTATTGAAATTTTAATATTATTTGATAAACCAATAGAACCTACTAGAAGTACAAGAACAGTACTAGACCAATACTGTCATATGTTTGGAATTATAAGGTTTTTTCTTACTAACAGATGAGTAATGGAAACTTTTTATAAGCAGTATTACACCAGTACTCTACCAACAATGGCAGCCAAGTACTGATCGTCAATACTAAAACAGTTCTTTGATAAGATGCCAGTCAGTTATACGCTCGTACTTAACAAAAATTTCTGCTTGGGATATCACTGAATAAAGTTATACTATCGCGCCTATTTAACTATACTCTTTAAAATAAGAAATAAATAATAGATTACAGTGAAATATATAATATACATACAACAATGAGTTCGAAAATAACTGAAACTACTTTTGGCGTAATGCGACAAGCATGTTGCATATTAAACCCATTCAAATCAAATATGACAACTCCGCCTAGTATTTGTGCAGTGGGCTCCAATATACCCAGTTCCAGTGTTGCATACGTAGCTTTAAGTATATCAGCCATGTCTATTTCATTCGTTTTCCAGTTGCCTAAAAAATAATATAATTATTTACATTGGATTGATTGATGCCATTTTTAAACAATACATAATAAAAAGTAATAAGAACTGCGTGAAATATTTATGAGGAATATAAAACTCATACATTCACTAATTATGATAATATTAATACAACAGTTAAGTTTTGTTTAATTATTTAGAGCAATTTGTGATTTTAGCATAATTTAGAATAGTAGTAAATCCAAAATACAGGATCCATAATTATAAAAACAGTGATGAATCCGCTACATATTTGTTGACTACCGTTAATCTGAGTGACTTGAATTTTGTACTACTCTAACGGATTTATTATATTCACATAGTCGAACACTACTGACAAGATGTAGATTGAGCTCAAAAATAGTTATTGATTTTTTTTTAAGTAAATTGAAGTAAAACAGTTATAAAAAGTGTTACTGTGGATCAATACGATTATTATTAAATTTTAATGTGTCAAAACCATCAATTTTTTGGGGGGTATTTTTCTTAAATTATTATTATTATTAACAAACTATAACATTTAGTAATATACAAATTTAATTTTTTGAACTTTAGAATTTAATGTAAAATAATAAAGTTAATATTTTAAATCGCCGAATGATATATTAATTCACTTATAAAACAATATAATATAAAAATTAGTTTTATAACAATTTCTATATAACAAAAACTAGAAATATTAAGAAATACTTTAAAAACATGAATACATTAGTGATGATCTAATTTTTGAAAAAAATCAACTTTTTCTAAATAATTTAAAGTAAATAAGGGTTAAAATATCAAAAAATTATTATTTTTTAAATTAAATACGTAAAGTACTTCAATTTTAACAATAAACTGTAATATCTTCAATTCCGTATATTATATAGAATTAAAGTTGAACATTGATACATTAAACATTTATCTGGAGTGATATATACTTTCATTATTCGGCAATTAGAAAATTTGACACTATTACTTTTCATATACAATCAAATAATTTAATGTTCACTCAAAGTTAAGTCTTTTTTAATCTTTTCTGACGTAAATTGAGGGGATTAATTTAAAGTAGATTTATTCCAAGTAAAACTCGTTTACAACAAAATAAAATTACTAATAATTTATTAGTAATAAGTTTTCATTAAAAATATATGCTTCAACAAAGTTGAATGATTACACCAAATATAGTTGGTTTATTTGAGATTATAATATTATTTTTAAGATAAATTTAACAATAACAAAAATATCAATAACTATTGCAGTGTATAATAAATTAGCTTTTAGGTAATATAAAAATAGGTGTGATGTTAATTAATACAATCGAATACAATTTAATTTATGATCTTATAATAATAAAATACTTTTAAAATATTTTATTATTTATACCATTAATAGATTTAAGAAAAGTAAGAAAATTGATTAATTATTTGAAAAATGTGTTTAACATTTTGTTTATTAACAATATTTTTTTTAATGACCTCGAAGTTAAGTATCAACCTATGACCTTGTATTCAAATTATTTTGATGGAAAGCACATAAAACAAAAATTAAGATAAGCATTTTTTTAAAAATTATGTGTTTTTATTAAAAATGATTGTAGCAGGTAAATAAAGTCATATCAATCTGTACAAAGTTTCAGTAAATATTAATTCATTAAGTAAAAAACAGATTATGTGTTTTCGTCAATATAATCATTTTAATGCCATAAAACGGTTGATGTAAAAATAGTATTTATAATGAGTGTCGAAAACATACAGTTTTATAAATATTGTTTATGATAATTTATCTTTGTTTTTTAACTTTTGATCTTATTTTAAAATTGTTTATTAAAATGATACTTTTCTAACCGACAGGTTAGAGTAGTGACGTAATTCAACCTTTTTAATTTTTCTGATTTTTACACTAACACGTATAAAAAACTTTAAGATAAAATATAATAAAACTCAAGTCAACAATGTTTAATCAATTTATCTGTTATACTAAACTCCACTCAAAATTCTAGAGAAAAGAAAGTATAAGCTATTATTTTATTTTATCATTTCTCTAATTTTTTTTTTTTAATTATGTTAAGTTTATAAGTTGTACGAAATGTTCATAAAAAAATTATTTTAAAATGATATTATATTATTTAATGTGAACTTATGATTGTTAACCTTGAGGTATATATTAAAATATCATATCCTATTAAAAACTAGAATATTATTATAATTACATACCAGACATAATTAAATTACTCACATAAATCGTTGATATCACTATGTTAATGTAAACTTATGTATTTTTTATACTTCTTACCGATTTTGTAAATCATAATTCTTCTATTAGTTTGATCTTTGTATGGCATTACACTAAGAATATCTTGGTCACCGATATGAGATAAGTTCAGTGGATTAATAGAGTAGTAATCTGGATGCTTTTCTCTAAACCTACAATAGTTTACAATCTGTAAAAAGTTTAAATATGATGTTAAAAATGTATATAAATTAATAATTTTTAGAAATATACATTTATATATATGTTTGCCATATTATTTAATAACTCAACATTTTATTTTAATGATAAAAACAATAAAGTATAGTTGGAAATTAGGGATAAAAATATATCTTAAATGAGCCGACATATTAAGCTTACGATTTTTATTTTATATTATCAAAAGCTTAATGTATTTTAACTTTAGTTCTATTTCAATTGATGTATGTGCTTGAAAATAACTAATTGGTATAACTATAAATAACAAATTCATCATCTTAAATTTTCAATTACATAAGACTTTGAGTTAATGAAAAAATATTTTATATATATTGGAATAAAATTTGTCTTTTCTCAATAATAATAAACCATCCAACTTGATAACATTAAATATTAAAAAAAATAATGTTGTATTTGTTTAAAACAATATTCTAAGATAGTAAAATTTAACATTATATATTTATCACACATGTATTTTATACGGATTATAATTAATTTTAAATTAGACCAATGATTACGGTACGACTAAAAAAGTAAAATCGTTTTAAAATGAATATGTTTTAATATTATTATATAAAAAATTACTTTTAAAGATCAATAGGTATCTATCAAAATATATCTAAAAAACAGTTAATATTAATTGAGTTATGGAGAATAAAAGATTACTAAGTTTTAAATACTTAGTTTTAATTAAATTTAAATTAAATTTTTAATTAGAAACTGATAGGAATGAAAAAGTTCTATCTATCATATGCTGGATTTTTTTAGACTATAACATATTAAATATTAGTATCTATGAGATACTATAGACTCTGATATCTAAATTTAAAAAGTCCAAAACACTTAAATATTATACCTACCAAATAGCTTCTAAATAATAATATTAAATAATAGCATAATTAATTCACTCAAAACAAAACGGTTCTACTTATAGAAACTTTATTATTGGTATTTTACCTCGAGTTACTTAAAACTAACTAAATTTTATATTAATATCTTAATACGATAAATCGCGATTACGAATTCTTAACGTATATTTCATTGTTTTACGAAGTTTTCAAGTAAAACAAATAACTAATCGAATGACCTACTTAATAACAGTAACAAATAATACATTGAACATTCATAGAAGTTTAGTTTTTTTTTTTTTTTAACAGCTATCATTGTCACAGTATTAAGCATTTTTTTTTTATAAATATTTAAATAAAAAACGATTTATTACTCAAATTCATTTTAACTCTTCATGGCTGTTACTGTAGAAGCAGTTCTTATTAATTCTTTATTATTATCATAGCGAGTAATTATATTAGTTATGATAGTTTTATGTCTACCTTTCACGGGAGCAGTTGGTGAAAGGATTGCCTTCTGAGGTCATTTACATTTATACCGTTGCACTATTTATAACTTAAATAAAAGATAAATTACTTTATGAGTTACTTATTATAAATGTATTTTAATCGAACATAGATATTTTAAAAGTCTTTGTTAGAATGTACGAGGATTTAAAATAAAACTAGTTTTTAATAAAAAAAATTACTGAATTATTATTATTTTTTTGAACTTTGATAATCAGTGACGTAGTCAGTTTCTTTCAACGTTACAAATGATACAAATGAAAATTTAATTTTTTTATATTTATAATATAGAATGCATCAATAATTATTAAAATTACTTCAACCCAATTTCAAGGAAATATATGTAATACTTAAGCCGTAAATAACTTAATAAGCAATTTTAAAAATTATTAAATTTACAAATAAAAATATTTTTAAGGCTTATCTGTTTTTACATTAGCTCTCCGTTTTAATTATTATTATACCAATAATAATATTAACTCAAAGAATTTTATCATCAGTATTCATAATTTCAAATACTAATATAAAAACAGAATCAAAGAAAATAAAATGGACGTCGAATAAAACGACGAACAATTTCATCTTAAATAAATTTAATATAATTGACAAATTGTGAATTCGTAGTGTATAAAAATCTTTTGAATTTTATGGAACTACAATAATTACATAAAACACATTCGAGACTAACCGAATTTTTATGGATTTCATTCATTTTTTATAAGGATAGACCATAATATAATTACGATGCACAATGTAAAGTATCTACGATATTACAATGGATATAAAATTACATTACTTTTAATTTTATTTTGTTATAATAATATATTTTATTGCGCATTAAAAATTTAATTTAAACTTGAGAAAAATAATTCTAGCTCTATTTTCATCAAATATCATACTTAAATATTTTAATATTTAGTTTATTTTTATAACTTTCTTTTTGCTTTATTATTAATTTTTATATTTTTAGTAATTTACCTTATATTCATGTATGTTAATTAATTTGTTTTGTACAATCATAACTGAAGTTTTAAGTACTTAAATTCTCAATAATGGAATGCATTTACATTTGAACAACAAAAAAAAAACTCAATTTAAATTTCTAATTATTTAATTTAAATATAAAATTATTAGTTTTAGTATATTTGAACTGTAGCTGGAAAATGTTTTATAACTTATAATTTTATATTAAGAGATTTTGAATTTTAGCATAGATTTTTTAGCGTCACGCTTTGTCAATGCCGTCAAGGCAAAAAATAAATTCATACTTATGATTTATTAATTACATACCTGGGTGCAAAAGTTTTTAAAAAATTATATCTTTCAGAATTTCTTAGATTAAAATATACATAAAATCTGTATGATTACTTATAACTATAACTAATTTATAGTAAAATATTCATTCTTAAAAAAATGCATATTTTTACATACATTTAGTGGATTTTTTTATATTTGTGTGTGAAATTTTTGATATTATAAAGATAAAGAATTTTGATTTTAGTACGATTTTTTATATTTTTATGTAAATAATATTACCGATGTATAGGAATTTTTAAATAATCTGTTAAAGTTCTTAAGAAAACTACCCAAACGATTTTTAGGACACTTGATAACTCTGTTATTTTGTTGACGTTTGCATTTAGGCACTTAATGGTGTACTTGAATGTTAATGGAATTATTTGTTTATAATATTTATAGTATAATGTACTCATAAATATGGTTTCTATGGTTCAGTAAATTACGGATGCACTATAAAAATATTAATTTTAATATAATTTTTGGTCTTAGTACTTGTTATCTGATTTCGTGACTACCTTGACCATTATATTAGCGGATACATAAGAAGTATGTAGTTGATGTTTGAAACTCGAAAAGAGACGATAAAAGCGTCACGGCCGATATAATCAATGAACATTTACTTAAGGGCGACCTATTCGAGGATTAACATGTTATTTTTATTGAAAGTGTTTTAACCTTGTCTTCAACGCTGTGTAAAAAATTATATTTATAGATAAAATTAGCAATCGATTTACGTCTAAAAAAGCCACACTATGTATCAATCTGTAAGAAATTAATACCAGTTTTATCTGGTATTAATTTCTTATTATATATCATACAATTATTATATTTTATTTTATAAAAGTTATTGTACACAAATTAGATTAAAATATATGAGTAAAAGGTTATCCAAGAATAATACTTCATTTATTTTACTTTATTCGATTCAATTGGATACTTTTCAATGGTTAATTTACACATATATTTTAATGTTATTAGATAAGTAAAAGGCCAAACTATTTTCTCTAAAACTACTAATTAAAGTATTGGACAATAATTCTATTTATTTCATTTATAACCATTACTGTTTAAACCGTAACACCTAGAAAGTCAAATAATGTCGTACTTTGTAAGTTTCTAACGTATTAGTTAAAATATTTGATTTTACATAGAAAATACACATAAGGAATATTTCCCCTCTTTTTTTTTATGATAAGTTGTGGACATAGGAATAGATAAAATATTTTTCTCTAGAACACGTCATATTTTTAGATGTAATGTAAATTTCAAAACTTGTATATAATTGTAAATCTGTTTCTGTATAGTCAATATTGCTGTGTCCGCAAACATCTATTTAACATATTTAACAATTTCACATAAATGAATATACGATTGTAACATCGTCATAACACCTAAGTATTTAGTATTAACCGCATTATTATTATACTATACTAGAAACTATATAATTCGTTTTTTTTTTTCATCAATCCTATTTGATACGTGTAAAGTAATTTTGGTAATCAGGTTGTGTAAGTAGATTATAAAAATTTCAGGTTCTCATTCGTTAAAACTATTTCTTAAGGACAAATAAAGTAGACGAAAACAATATAAGCTAGAAGTACTTAATTCTCTTTTATTCAAAAACTAATCCATCGAGAAAATCGCACAGCTACGTGTCTTATGTTTGGGTATCCGACCATGACCTAAAATTGACTGAAAATCGTTTCCTATGTATGAACAGCGTTTGTTTGTGCTGCGGGTTTGCGCAACATTATAATGGTTATTATGGTAATAAATAATATTTTTTAAGTACGTGTATGCTCGATTTTAGATGAATGCATATTTTGGTCAACATGCAGTTTCGCTCATTACCATAAAAGTCTAAAATGCAGTACATAAAATCAATCAATATGTATAGAAATATATTTGACATTTCATTTACTTATAACAATATAATATTATTTTAAAACTGAACTAGAAAGACTTTGACAAAATGCATGATTGATCATCAGAATAAGTAAAAAAACAATCTAACATTTAGACTTTTATAAAACAAATATTTAAATAATTAATAATTCTGTAATTGATTAATTGGCATATATCTTAATGATAAAAATTCATTTTTTATGTTATTCTGAATCATTAATCACTTTACCATAAATCCGGGGAAATCGAAACAAAAACCAAGAACACTTTTTTTAAATGAATTAGTTTACTGATGTATATTAAATTAATTTCAGAATTAATGGTAAAATAAAAATAGATAATTATTATGATAAAAAATTATTGCTATTATTTCTGGAATTAATAAATTCGTTTTCATAAATGAATACTATAATTTACTTAATTTTGTTTTAATTATACAAAAAAAAATTCAATAGTTATACAAATTATTTTTGCCAATATTTATATTCTAATCATATTGAAATTGTAGACAATATTTAAAATACACATATACATTTATTTCTATTCTATCATTGACGCCAGTAATTATTTTTCTATTGTCAAAATTGAAAATAATTATAATGAGAATAATTAATTAATAATATTAGTTCACTGTTAAAAATATAATGCATTATTTGTCATATTTCGTGGATACTATATGGGCGTCACTAATTAGAACAATGAACTCAGATAATTAATAATGTGTTCTGAGTTTGAGCGTAAGATATCACAGTTTAATAATTATGAAACAATATTTGGAGCATGTGCATTGGGTCTACTCAAAAGAGGAAATTTCCGACAACATGGTTTTGGATAAAACAAATTTTTATCGTTAGTGATGATTTTTTTTTTCTCACTTAAGTTACAGTCCAAGCTTGTACTATAGTTTAAAGATACCGTAATCTAATCAATAAAATATAAATATTTTAAACAAAGGAGTCCATTATTAATTTTATGCACACAATTTATTTGAATGTAATAAAAATATGTTTCTTTTAAAGTATAGGGTATTTGATATAACAAAAAAGTTCTACGCTTCTATCATAGAGAATCCTTATGTTTAAGTAAAAAATGTTACTTCAAATCAAAACTAAATTGAATTAAAATATTAATCTTTTACTTAAACTAAAAGTAATTATAACTCTGATTTAACGGAAGTGTAGGGAAATTATTTGTTTGCTAACCCCACTAGGCAGTTTTCATTATTTCAATAACCTGCCGTCATTATTTTAATGACATTTATCGTTAAATAATAAAATCCACGTTTAGTTTTAGCATATTTGGGTAAATTTTTTGGAACTGTTATTATTGTGCTATTAAATAACGGTGACAATACGCAACATTATTCTACACTTGGCATCGTTTTGGTTAGTGTATAGTGTCTAGTGATTGATTTTATAACTAAATGGAAGAAATAATTTTACATTCTGTCGTCATTGAAAATAATGCATTTTCCGAAGAATTTTCACACGAATCAGCTCTACTAGATGTACCAGGAGAGTTAAAATGTGATTGCTTCTTCAATATATTTATCGGTGAGTACACATATTTATTTTTATATATTTTAGACGTGTGACGTTTTAGTAATTATCGGTTAATTGACTTTTTTACGTTACATTAAATTTAGTGATTTGAAAAATATTATTTCTCTAAATTTTTATTTTAATTCTGCTTTTTATAAATTATATAAAAACCAAAGGGAATATTATACTTAAAATATCATTATACATTGACAATATTACGCAAACACAAATTGTGGTCTCCCATAAAAAAAGTAAAAAAAAGTGTATGTGTATGCCTTAGTTATAATTAGGTTTATTTTTCAATGATACTAATTTACATAATTACTTCTTTTATTAATTTAATTCTAGATTGATATTGATTTTGAATATATATATGCTTCAAAAGAAAATTCATTGTTTGTTAATTTGGATCAATTTATTATTAAGATAATTTCGTTAATGATAAATAAAATAAAGGATGGAAACAGCAAATTATTACATAAACGTTTAATAGAAATAAACAAAACTGATATTGGTAAGACAATTTCTTACAATTTTTAATTAATTGAATAATAATACATTAATATTTTACAGAAACCAGAAATCGTTTAGTTTTAGATCTAATGAATGCTTTATTAGTTCCAACTTCCAGATCCTATGAAATAGATTCAGTTACAAATAAGAGACGTATTGTAAAAACATTGATGAGAAAGTTCTTTTTTTATGTATAACATTAAATGAACTATCTTATAATAAACATTTTGTAAGCTTTGTTGTTTCTAATGTTGATACTGATGATCTCTATGTATTAAAAGATATTAATGATTTCTCAAGTCCACCAATTTGTTTATATCATCTTAATGATAAAAAAACAGTTATAAGATTAAAACATTTTTAAAGATTTATTGATTCTACATTTTAATATATATACTTATATATGTTTATTATTATTTTTATTTATATTTGATGTTTCAATATAATGTTAATTTGATGGAAACCAATGGAATATGTAACTATGTTAAAATAAAATTTTATTCCCTATTAATATTTGTAATTTGTATTTATCATTTATATTAATTAATTTTTTTGCATTAAAAATAAATATACTTAATAAATGGCAGTGTTAAAAGTATTAAATTTAAATAACCCAATCATTTGTTTTTATTATTCGCAAAAAAATAATCTAGAAGATGGATTTTTACTTTATTACTAAGTAAAGTAGTTCTTAAAGTAATGTAAAGAAATTTTTATTTTTATGAAGAAATAGAATTGTTTTAAAAACTGACCTAATAATAATAGCTTAAAATCAATGCTTACAACTCGTCATATTTATGTTTCAAGAAAAGTAAAATTTATGATTAGAGTTAATTATTACAACGAATTATATCTTTAAAATAAATACCATAGGATGTATTTTCATTAAATTAATGTTAATAATTTTCCAACCGTTTAATTACCAAGTATTTAAAACTATGGACTGTAAGAATAAAATTAAAGAAATTAATAATTGTTTCAATGAATATTCTTTAGCATTAATATAATAAATAATATAATGATTAAAAAGATGTTATTTCAATGAATCGATTCCATAGGCTCCAAATCATACCCGTTTTTCCTTAGTTTTATATACTTTTTCCATTAATTTTAATAACTATTTTTCTGGTTGTAGTAAACCTAATATTTTTAATCGTACTAAATCCACGAATTGGTACTTGAGGCTCCGAAATAACTATATTAATTTTAGCACCAACCTTAAAAAATTGTAATTTTTCCCTCAGTTACTTGAAAATATCAACGAATATTAGAAGTATTATAAAGATATTAGTAGATTTTTATTATTATTTTTAAATTATTAATAATTATAGAGGAAATCAGAGAAGCTTAGAGAGATAATCTTTTAAAATACTTTTGATTTTTAAAAATTTATGAATTAATATTTATTGTATTATAAATAATAAATGTAATTAAAACCAATAAATTTAAAAAATAGCTGAATATATAAAGAAATTGGCTAGATTAATGACATCAAGGAAGGTTGAATTTAGAATATTGAGATAATATAAACAATTAAATGAAATGAAATGGTTTATTCCTAAAGTAAGACAGTTTATGAGTAAATGAGAAATGTTACAGAAGATTTCATCAACATGTTTGGGACAAAAAGGAGAAAGGTTGTAGGATATTATGTAAACGTGAGAATGGAAACGGTTTAAAGAAATACCGTTTAATAAGCAAAATTTGACTTACCAATTGGTAGGTAGCTTTAAGTTTAAAATTTCTGGCTCGCAAAAATCGTAGTAAAAAAGCTTCATCCATTCTGTGTGGTAAGACCTCTCCCTTTTCTGTTAACAAAATAAAATTATTATCATAAAACATTATTGATTAATACATTTTTTTTAAATCTTAATTATTTTATTTTATTTATATTCATTTTTTAAATAATTTATGTGTATATACATAAAAACATTATTCATAGTAAATATTTAAAATTTTATGGATTGTAAATATTTGAATAAAAAAAAATTCTAAGAATGTAAATATAGAACAGAACACTTAACAGAAACATTATATGTTAGATTTAAATTTTATCTTTTTAAATTTTGTGATAGTTATTTAATTATTTTATATTGAAAATTTTAATCACAAAAACCGATAACTAAAATTTATATTTTAAAATTTTTTAAAATTTTAAAAATATTTTAATCTTAAAAGTATAAAAAAAGATTATTTTTAATTGTACAGTAATCTGGAGTTAAAACGTATTCCTTTTAACCAGTATTTTTTACTGGAAGTAACAAAATAATGACAACGTTTATTGAATTTAGTAACGTTGCAATTCAATATATTAATATTTAATTATAATGAGTGAAAAAAAGCGAAAAAGAGTGTTAGGAATTTAAAAGAACATTTTTTTCTAAATATAAGACAGTTACAAAATAATTGCAGTGAAAATTGATTATCTAATAAGTTTAATATAAAATATTGTATATAACTTATTTATTTCAAAATAAATATAAATTGTATTTTTTAGAGCTACATTTGACTATTACTTCAAATCAAAATTTTATGTCAAAAATTGTATGCGAACATAAAATTATGTTATTAATTAATAAAAATGTTATATATTTTATTAGTTAACCTAGATAAACTTAAATTAGAATACTTAAAGAGTGAAATATAACAGAAAGTATGAAAAATAATTGAAATCAATTTATGAGTTCGATTTTAGCTGGATGATTTTTTNATGAAAAATAATTGAAATCAATTTATGAGTTCGATTTTAGCTGGATGATTTTTTAACGACCAATAATAGACATGAAAAAATGATCCAAGTAATGAATATCAAATCTTAAAATTTAATATTCATCAACCATTGAACTATAAAATTAAATTGATTATTTAAATATTAGACGATTATACCGTACAGACTCTTACCCCAGTTTGCTCTAATTAATATTATTATTTTTTTAAATTATTACAAAAACTTAAAATCTTATTCTATAGAGGTCGTTACACTTGAACTCCTTGAATGATTATCACCAGAATTATCCTCAGTACCTAATGGAAAAATTACGATTGTATGGTAATGAAGTACAAAACAATTATGTTGTTGTGGTAAAATTTCTCATAAAATTACTTAATAATTAATATTTTAAAAATTTCGAATGCCAACCTTGAGACTTCATCAATTGATATAAGCTCTAGCGTCCATAAAACAAAAACAGTGTCAGATTTTATTGAAGGAATATTTTGCAATCTCCAACATTTTATGACTATGTACAGTATAAAAAAATTATTGAATCATGATTCAAAACAAGGAGATCGTACGGAATAGCAAGAGAAAAATAAATACTAATAGTCACTAATTAACGAATTGTCATGTAAAACTTTAATTATTTGTTAAACCTTGAAAATAAATATTTTATAAAAATTGTTTTTTAAACAAAGAAACAAACTATAAACGTTTATTAAAGGGGTAAATCGTAGCAAGTATTTCTATGTTTTATGATATTATAATTATTTTAATATTATGTTACTGTTTTAAATTATTTACTATCAAAATGCTTTATTTAACGCTTTTTGATAAAGCTATGATGTATGTGTGCTGCAGAATAAGTTGTTGAAATTAATTATTGAACTGGTTCCATTATTGCGTCCCATCGGTACAATTTCATTATATAAATGTCATTAAATTAAGGATTGTGACTTCTACAGAGTGATCTGCGACATTTTCACAATGCTAATACATTTTGATCTACTAAATATTGTGCATTACTTTTTTTGATTTTATGATTTATCCATTACTAGTTCACATTAAAATCCTATTTTTTTATTAAAAATAAATAATATATAATATGATTCCAATAGATAAAATTTATTAGATTTGTCAAAACATCGTGGACCACTCTGTATAAATGATCATTATAACACATTTTTTTTTATTCACGAAAGTTGGTACAAATAAAAACATTTTACTTAGTATATGACGTTAATAGTGGTCAATATATTTTAGTTGCAGCAGATTTATACTATGAGATATTAATTTTAATCTGAACTTATGATTGATAAACGATTAGCATTCTATAAAATCATTTTAATATCTCAATGGGTAACTTTTACCAGAAATCGTACAACTCATTATACTTTTATTGCATAGATAATCTTCTGATATACGTTTTGATTTTATTCACACTTAATACCACGTGAACGATAAAAAAACACAAATCTTTTTATGCATCTTATTTGATTTGACGAGAGAAAGTAAAATGGTTGAACAACATTAGCTGCCAAGAAATAATCACGCTTCGCTAACGAATATCAAAAGAAAAGAAACGTTATAAATTGGTCATAAAAAGTGTACCAATGATTTCCTACACAATCACGGTTACGATCGCAAAATTATATTTCTTGGTTTGTAATAAATAGTATTTATTATTTATTCGCCACAAAAAGATATTATAATGTTGAAAAACTCATTTGTTGTTACTAGTTCTTTCAGTAATTGTTTACTATCAATAAAGGTCAATAACCTTTACAAAAAAAAAATTGACAATGGAATATTACATAAGATTTAATTTAACACCGTAATTGAATTTACCGTAATTTTATTACGAAAAAATGCATTTAAGTGAGTGGCGCACTAGAATGATGTTGAAACTACAATGTATCTTATTGATGACCTATTTTCGAATCTAAGCATTTAATGATAAGTTCTATGAATAAACTTAATTGTGTGTCATTAATATAATGACAATATCCACTCGTTCACTGCTCTGCAGGCGTTCCTCTCACTAAGAAACTAACACATTTATGTAACGAATATTCTTAAAATAGACTATTAGTAATGTTTATTTTATGACTGATCATTGTACACTGTAGCGTACAAATGTATAGCTAAGTTTTTCTAGCAAGATGAGCTCCAACCGGAAGAACCGATACACCCTATACATCAACTTCTGTGAGGCGGAAACTTACCATGACCACTGTGGAAAACCTTAAATAGATTAAGAGTTGGAGTGTCGAGGACTAATCCGAATATGGTAAAATTGGGCCTTAGTAGAGAAGACGAAGCCTGTGAATGTGGGAAACGACAGGACCGATACACAACTTTTTTCATGCACCGTAAGTCCATAACAATGTGCCAAAGAATACGTTATATTGACAAATACAAATGCTCTAGAGGTGGTTACTTGCTGGTTGCAGTACAACATATAGAACATTACCTACTTTTTGTATCGAAAAGAAGTAAAAGTTGTAGTTTACACTATTATACACTACAGAATTTAAGGAACAATTCTTAAATCTAAGAAAATGTATATTTTATTTTTAGAAACAAGATGAGAAGTATTGATTTTGAATTGAAAAAATCATCAATACTTTTTAAATTCTTTAAAAGTTTGGAAGCATAATTAGGAGAAATCAGGTTATAATCCTTCTGATGTTCAAGACTTTCGTTCAATCCTCTTCACAAAAAAAAGTTCATGATGTGAATTAACACGCGATTCCTTCCACATAGAGGAAATAATAATCACTCAAATTTTAATTTTTTTTTTTTTAATTCATGACTAATTTACTTGTTAACTAGTGTTACAAAATTTGCCATATAGATGTTTAATCGATACAACTTACTCGTTGTTTATATTATAAAACCAAAATGAAANTAATTCATGACTAATTTACTTATTAACTAGTGTTACAAAATTTGCCATATAGATGTTTAATCGATACAACTTACTCGTTGTTTATATTATAAAACCAAAATGAAATATAACAAAATAATAATACCATAAATAAATCACGAGTTTAACAAAATATTTGTGATAAAACAACTTTTTGGTGCCCAAACTAAATTAATAACTATCATATTTCAATTGTAAAGATTTAATAATTCAATTATGTATTGTGATCACCTGTTTTTTAGCTATAGAAGATTTGTAGAAAACTAGATGACCACGATTACCCACTGACTATCGTTCCCTCAATATATCCTATAACTTATATTATGGTGTTTATCAATGTATTTTTTATAATTTCAGATTTAAGGGTGCGAAGAATTAATTGTTTTTCCAAAGTACTCTTAATCGAAGATTTTACTTTTGAAACCAAAAAAGTAAGTACACTGTTGATTCAGTAACTGTTAAAAATCACTGATTATATAACCATTTAAAAAATATTAATTGAAATAAAAACTATCCATAGAAATTTAAAGTTACTTAATTACAAAAGCAATTTTACCATAAATCATGTCCTCCAATTCTGCCAATAGTTTAGTGCGACTCTCTTCAGTCTCTCCCACACGGTCACGAGCATATTGTTTTGTCTGTTCTGATATCGTATCCAAATCTAATTGGGCTATAACGTCTGGAAAGTCATCTGAAGATTCTGTGGGAGTAAAATCTGTGTCATCCGATATTAGTTGGGGCATATTTATCGATAGTTCGCTAAAACCTTTGAAATATCACCAAATAAGGTTAAGAAATTTAAATAAAAAAAAATTACGGTTATGCGATTGGTATTGGAATATTCGACGCGCTGAGTGTCTGTTAGGCCGACCGGTTTACGTACGTCTGAGTGGTGGCGAGTACCGAGTAGCTTGTAATCGCCGGAACAAATAAAAAAATAAATAAACACAACGGTAACGCTAGTCAAACGTGTGGGGCCGTGGTCAAGGTCGTATTCAACTCCTTTAGTTGTCGACGATGTTGAAGTTCCCAGTCAGCGGATTTTTTTAGCTGTTGCTGACAGAACTACTTAATAAGTAATACTTATTGGTGTTTTAATTGTATTTTCAGTAGTGTACACAATGGCTACCGTGGCGAGCAATTATTGATGACTGCATCATACGCGTCTCAAAACGCACAAGTACCGTTTTCACTGCATCTCAAGAAATATTGCATAAGGCACACAACCTGTAACAAATTATACGAGCTATCTATCTTACCGTACCACTAGAATGCCCACAACAAAAATAATATGACAGTAATTAAGTATGTCATTGGTCATAATAGTGGCTTCAGGAAAACCCAGGAAATTACCATAATGTAATCCAAATAATTTCATTGCAACTTAATTTTTTTTTCACCTGAAGCACTTGAAAACTTCTTTAATGCGAAACACGTGTGTTGATCAAATTACATTGTATAGTTTTGAAGCGAATAGTATAAACCCGAAAGAAATAATATGTAATAGTAAGCCATTTTATGTTTTTTTAAGTAAATATTGTATTAATTTTTAATAAATCAAGAAATTGTCTCTTCGTCGAAAACAAATGAATCATATTGAATAGAGCTATATTGTAGTAGAACATATTAGTAGTTTTGTTAAATAATATTTATAAGATAATTTTATACTTATTAAAAAATACTCGAGTAATTTTGATACAATATTATCTACAACATAATATAATGTCATATTATGGCACATTATTAAGTGTGCTATATAAATAAAAAACATACTCTGCACGTGAAGTAAAATTGAAGATAGTAAATGTTTATCTTTATTTAATCAATATACAAAACAAAAATAATTAATAATTATATAAAATCTAATTAAATATATTAGGACCTGTATGGCCTCAAAATATTCGTCATTGAGGACCTGCCTAAGTCATTAAAAATTAAATGACTTAAAACTTTCCAACTTAAGGCTCAAAACTGGAGTTCTATAGAAAATCACCTTTTAAGCTCTTTACAACGATTTAAATTTTTCCATGGACGTAAAATATCTAAAAATCGTTAATAGAAGATCCTATGTCTTATATTAGTCGTTCTTATAATTATCTAATGCAGCCAAAAACACTGCAATTATTGAAGGTCGTGTTTAGTTTAAATAAGTCAAAGTTTCTGGACCTATGAATGTCTGGTTCATTTTTTTGATTTGCTCATCTATAAAATATATCAATTACTGTTATAACTGCAGTGTTGTTAAAATGATATATTACAGTTCAGACAGTAACATCCGTTATATTAGTTTTGTTAAAAAAGTAATACCTTTGCTTAATTAAGAATATTTTAAAATAGAATTGATGTGAACGTTCAGTTTAAATCCAAATCCCTTAAAAACATGCTTGTTTGTCTTTATCAATAATAGACATAGCTAAAAATATTATAATATTAAAATATTATATAATAATCACTCAAACAATTACAAAAAAGAAAATTAATTTCTAGAAGTTTACCATCCATTGGTTGGTTTCACTTTTATATGCTATACGAACAAAATGAGGTTTAACAATCTGTGTCTCAATATAAAATTGGTTTGAAATGAAATTTTTTTTTCCAAAAGATTCAAAATTTAAATAGTGTTCTCACCAATTTCAAAGTTTGAATTAAATTAGTTTAGTGACATACGTAGTAAAACCTACGCCAAATTTGCCGGTCAGTCTTTTAATCAGCGACCGATATCAGTCGACTGCAGTATTTCAAAGCTACAATTTTTTTTCAGAATTAAAATAAGTTGGCTTTAACTTTTTTTTCAAGTTTCGTGTAATTGTTACATTTTTTTATCTAACAAATTTATTTTCTCATTTATTTTTAAGATTTATATTGAAGATAGTAATGGAATCCAATCTTTGATTCGTTAAAAACAGTTTACTTTGAATAATTTAATCAAAACACTAGATTTTTTTTTAGATACAAGTTTTTGTCTGATAGTATAAAATTTAAGAAGTCTGTTGGATATTCATATTCCGGTATTCTTCCTCAAATATGATTTTGTATATTATTGTTGTTGTGGTACGACGTCTGTAAGACTCAGCCGTAGTAGTCACAATACCGTGAGGTTGTCAAAATTGTTTATTAGAATACAAGTTTGTTATTGTATGATTAAGACCTCAGAGAGGTGCTGCTACTGACGAGGCTAATGTTCACTATTCAATAAAAATATGTATTGATTTTTGATGTTCCATATTTTTACATAGTTTTAATATATTAATAAATCCATAGATTTATTAATTAAATTTAATTCAATTAAAATAAACACCAAATTTTATAAACAAAAATATACTTTTACAGTATATCTTTATTTTTGTGAAATTTCCCTTTATACAAAGCCATGTGATTAATTTGTTGGTATTAACCCAAAACTTATGAAGCAACAAATAGGAAAAGGCTGTTTATAAATAAAGTTTAGTTGATCATTAGAATTTTTATTTGTTTTTTAAGATTTTTATTTTTTACAGGTTTTTAGATGACATTGAAATAATCTTTACATTAATTTATATTTTATGCTAAGTTTAGAAATTTTTCATATATTATTTTTGTTAAAATGTTGTATTTTTATAATAATATGTTAATTTTTAAAACGTTTTTAGAATATTTAATTATTTCACATATAATATTTTTTTACATCCATTTTTCATTATTCTTTAAAATCGTGAGGTAGATGGATATCTTATTTTCATATATGGTTTTGTGATACTAAAAGTTGTGGTTTGATTTTTAATTCTTTACACGCAAAAAAATACATTTAATTTTGCTGCTTGAAAATAATATTTATAGAGGTATGTAATACTATTATCTCTATCTTTCTAAATATTATGACAAAGATAGAAAATTAAATTTTACACATTACGAGATAAATTTAATATTTTATTATAACCAGAAAAATAAATGTGCATTGTAAAGTACTTCGCTTTATTAGATAAAAATATATTTATTATAAAATCAAATAAAACCGTTATATTTTATGATTAATCTACTTTAATAAAATGTATTCACAATTTAATTTAATTATGCCTTTACTATTTTGAATTATGTTAACCTTCTGCAAATACCAATTATTCCATGAAACAAACATATGACAAATATTACAATTTAATTCTCATAGTTCAATCATTTAAATGAATTATATCTAATAAAATCTCAAGATTTAATTTATTTCCCCTATAATTATTTCCACCGTTGTTGAATTTCATTATAATCTATATTATTTTGGTTGATTTTTATATTTTAATACTTATTTTTAACTAATTAGTAATAATATAGAACATTTGTAGTGATAGAAAAATGTAATTGCAGATTTGAAATCGGAGAGAAATATTAGTAGACCATAGATTCATAATTAATAAAAATATTTTTTCTAAAAAGTTTTTTTATCAAGCCCTTGAATCGAAATGTGTATAAAACATTTACCATAAAAGTATTGGAATATACAACTACTTTATAATTTTTTATAATTTCTCTATAAAAATTATAATATTAAATTATTGAATATCAATTTCATACTAAACTTAATTACTATAATAAGTATTTATTTATATATTATACTTATAAATAAAGACACTACAAATCAGGATATAATTAAGGAAATAGGAGTTGATGTTGAATAATCCACCAATTTCTTAATATTAAACACTATCTACAGATTTGCATCGAAGCGTTTCTTATGATTTTAATCTCAGACAGATATCATCTATACTTGTTTCAACAACACCACAGCTACGCACCATCTTAGTCTTGTATCGTAAGTTAAACTAAAAGTTATTTAAAATTACGATATCTATAATATCACAAATTGTTGTTTTCATAATAAAATCAAAGTTATCAATAAATTTACTAACACTTCATAAAATAATCGCATACACATCAATACAAAATAACATTTTTAGTATTCGGTATGACTCTGAATAACTAGAGCTGCCAATTTAAAACTTGAAGGTGCTGAACACAACTGTATACGTATATGTCAATTTTCAGGATTAATTTAGATGACAAGTTCTCATTAGTGTAACCACAAACATCGTCCACGACAACTACAAGAAAGACATTGCAGAAAGTAGTGTGAAGCTTAAACAAGACTATATTGAGTGTTCAGTAAGTAGGGAAACGGGTTATATTGTTCTCATTGTTTGTAACAATTTACCTGTTTCCTTACATACTGAACACTCTCTGTATAATCATTATAGCCAAAAATGAAACAGAAAAACAAATGTCATACAAATTGTTGTTGTAGATCGTGAAAAATATTCAACTACCACTATATATTTTTTGTTAAAAGATAAAAAAAGAAATTTTTTCATTAACTTTTACTGATAATAATTTATGTCTATTTATTTTTAAATAATAATGAAATTATTTTGATTGAGTGATTTAGTTATTCAATAATATTAACTTTGAGATAAATATCGAAAAATTGAGATAAATAAAAAATTAAGAAAAGCAAATAAAAAAAGCAAGAATCATCAAAAACAAAACAAAATTCCAGGTAGAGTGCATATTTTTAAGCAATGTCAAACTCTCGTGAAAAGGGTTAATGATACAAAAAAACATTACTAAAAATTCAATTGTATGTAATATTTATAAAAATGATTTGATCGTAGAATGAAAGGTTTGTCAAATTTAAGAATATTTCTATAAAAAGATTATTATTATTTATTGCGCTTAAATGATAAATATTTAATTTTTTGTAAAAAATAATTATTTTCAATAAAATTTGTTTTTATCTTTCTTGTAGGAACTTTTTTTGGTTTATAAATAATTTTATATTGAATTTTATTGTAAGGGCTGTATTTACTATAAAACTTTGTTTCAATTTACAACCCATTTGCTTTAGTCTTATGGGTTGATCAATGTTGACCAAATTTTGTCTTATTTTTATTTATTGTTGGATAAACTTTGGAGGATGGAATGGTCGTTTCAAAAAAAAAAAAAAATGTCTTTTCTACAGCTAAAAGCCACCCTAGTTCTCATGTACATTAGAAACATCTTGATTACCTCAAAAAGTACAATTTTTTGACTTAAATAAAATTTTATTACTCTAATTTAGTAAACTACCTTCATGGATATCTTAAAAGAAAGATTTTTAATGAGTTTCGACTAGTTTGACAATACTATAAAGAACAACCATTATCAAAATTGTTCGATACAAAATCGCAAAAATTAGACAATATGTTGTAAGTCAATAATAACATTACAAACATAATTTATACATAGTACTAATAAATACATCATTATCTATGATCTTGAATAATCATTAAACATTTTATAAAATTATGCATTTAGAGTTAGTAAAGTGTGTCAACTACTAAATTCGAAGTGTTGACAAAAATTGTTTTGTTTATTGAAAATGAAGTAGTAAGCTACTATATTTAATAATATTATTACAAATTAATGAATGATATTTCCTTGGAAAATTTGAACATCAAAAAGATAATTAGAAATACTCTGTAGGCCTAATAATAAGTAGTAAAACCAAATTAATTGTCGAATAAAGATCATTTAGTATTCATATAAAATCGTCATATGTTTAATAACAATAATTTTATTAATTTTAAAATTTGTATAATTTTGGTTTAAAAATAAAAATAAATAGAGATATTATAATAAAAGGAATATAAAAACAATAATACAAACATTAAGTTTAAAATAAAAATCCAATGAGCAAAATTATTGGTAAATTTATTTCATAAATATCCTATAATTTTTCTGTAAATAAAAAAAGTAAAAAGAGAACACAATAAAATTAATAAGATATCACGTAAAAAGACATTGCATAAGTGAATAAATTACTAAAAGAGTAAAAGTAAATCATAGAATAACTTAGGTAAAATTGAGCCATAATAAAAAAAAGTATAACTAATTTGCTTAAATAATAAATTTAGAACAATTTTTTTTAACGATAACAAACTTACACACACCAGAAGATTAAAGTATATAAATATGTATGATTATAAATTTTGGTCCACAATGAGTGTAAAATTTCATAGTAAATATTTAATAGTAGCCAAATCTTCGGTAACTATTTTTTTGAAACCGTACCATATTGGTTAAGCGCTAAAAAAATAATTAAAAATAAATATATAATATTTTAATGGGTTTAACAAATAAATTTATTTTTATAAATCATTTTAATCATAAAATAAATTTCGTAAATATTAAAAAGATATAATGTTTATTTAGTTGACAATTTGAAATGATTGAGTATTACTTAGAATAATTTTGTTAATTATGTAAAAACAATTAACTCTCTTTTCAAAAAATTTGACTACGAGTAAAATCGATTGTTTCAATATTTTAATCATACCAATTAGTCAAAAAAGTATTTTGTTTTTAACACATTAACTTGATTTAAAATTATTAAAAAAAATTTTATGAAAGTTAAAAGAAAAATGAAGTACGTGTTTAAAATTCCAAAAATACAGTTTATTATTTAAGTAATATATAAAAAAAATGAAATACTTTTTAGATTATAAAAATTGAAGTTAGAAGCGAAAATGTATGCACATAATAACTCTCGTTTTCTAAAAAAATTGTTCTTCAAATTTAAAACAAAACTCAATTTATATTCTATCAAAATAAATAATAAAATATATTATGCATTATTATTACTTTCATATTCCTTTTCTGCGAGCAATAAAACTTCATACCATTGAAGACCAGTGATTAAAGGAATTTCCAATGTGCCGTCATAGTGTTTTGGGAGACAAGAGGGGCTTAAATGTTTATGTAAAGATACACGATCAGTTCCATGAAAAATAATCTATTAAAAAATAAATATATTTAAATTATTTATCATTTGTTATTAAACTTAACATTGTACTTGCCCTAGATCGTAATTTTTCTCTCAAAAATGGTTTAAACAAGTTAAAAACGACATTGAAAAGTACTGGTTGGTTAACTATATGAATCCCTTTAATTCGAGCTGGTATACTATCCTAAAACAAAATATTTAAATTAATAAGTTAGTCAATTTTTTTTTTTTAAGTTTTTAGTCCACATCGACAAAATATAACCTAATTATCATTAAGATGTCTAAATAATTTAAATGTATCTTTAGTTTAATGAAATTCTAAGTAAAAGTGAATTCATTACAATTACTGAGTTATAAAATAAATGCATTAGCCAATTACTTGAAGCCAATCAACGATCCGTTTGGCAAATGGAGGACTAAATTGCCAAGTTTGCTGTAAAGATAATCCATCCATGTCAAATATAACTTGAGCTCCCGCTACTTGGGTAGCCGGCTCCAACATGGCGGCTTCTAAGTACAATACAGCACCTTTGAAAACCTCATCTAATGAACACTTCTTGTGTTTCCATTTCTCTACATAAATTAAAAATAAGCTAATAAATATCGTATTTTTTTAATTATTTGACTTAGCAGCCATTTGGAAGCGACATACTTCCTAATTCAATGACTAAAATTCGACGACCATTTTGGTCTCTTTTAGGTAATACAGTTAAAATATTGTGTTCAAAAATGTTCTTCTCGTTTCTTGGTACTAAATCTTTGAATACATTTGCATGCTTTAATTTAAAATCAAAATATTGCTTCATCTATGTAACAGAGAAAATTCAACGGTAAGAAATCTAAAATATTTAGTTAAAATTACTGAAATTTGTGAGTTTTACCAATTTGTATGCACTTCCCGGGTAGTATTTGGTAGGGCGAAGGAATCTTATAAGCCAACTATTTTTATCTAATGGAACATTTATAGTTTTATCTTCTGCAAATTATAAAATTATAAATTCAAAACTAAAACTTAAAAAGTTGCACTAGTTATAATTATCTGTGTAAAAATACATAAAATATTAAGTAATATCTACTAAAAGTTTAAAAGATATCTTAAATTTTATAGTAAGTTTAGGACTTACATGCATTCAAAAAATGAGTAAATTGAAAAATTTTGTTATTTTTCTTCAGTTTTAAATTTTCAAAAATACTAATTGTTTATAGCCTATCTAAAACCGTACTTACGTATAAAATAGCCTGATAAAACGAATTGATTGAGAAAAATTTATTTGAAATTTTTTGATGATAAGAAAAATATTAAAATATTTCTTTTGCAATGAGGGTCAAGGTTTCGTGTACTTACTTAAGTGCAAAATTATACTAGGTAAACAGAGGTCAATGATAAAAATTTATGTTTATGTTTAATTCGCAAAACTACTAAAGTAGGTCTATTTAGGTTAAACTCAAATTCCTTACACAGATAAAATTTTGCGTTTATCATCGGTGTACAAGTGATCATTTTGTTTTAAAATTAAAAACAGTAAAATACGATGGTAAAGATATCATCGACTCATGGTTACTCATTAACTATGAGTAATCAAAATATGGGATACGATACCATATTTAAAATTTAATTATGTTTCATAAATACACAACATTAAAGCAATATTACTAATATACTCACGTTCGAGTAATCGTCTCAGTTCGGCAATGGCTTTTTCCTGATTTTCTGGTGTTTCTCTAAGTTGTTTTTCGGCTACTTCTTGTAGCTCTGGAGATAAATCATCGTCTAATTCTAAACGAAGAGTAAATTCTCCGATTTGCATACAAGGGATTTTGTCTAAATCCGAAAGGAACATTTCACATCCTGTTAACATAAAATGAAACTGTCAATTCAGATGAAAATTGAATGATAATCTACGAATTATTGAAGTTCGACGAAACATAAATTATGGGTTTCCTTTCGATTAATATTGAAATTAGGGTTATTTATATTTATTTAATTATTTGATTGTTACATTAGATTAAAAATTAGAGAATGATATTGTTTAGGCGCCATCAAGGAGACGTCTTTAATCGCACCTTATACACATTTATGTACTTACTATAAGAAGTATTTAGTATCATGATTACATAATACTAAGTGCTTGTAGACTAATACACTGTATTATAATAACTATACTATACAGAGTGATCCGATATCATAACCCACTCATTTACTTACGCAATAAAAATAATATAAAAAATATATTTTTTAGTTAAATTATTAATATAGTAACATAGATAGACATTTTCTATAAAATTTGATGGGAATTGAAAAAAGTAGCTTTAAATAAATTATTCTCACTTCACTCCAAGTAAAATTGCACTTTTTTAGTTAATAAATAATAAATAAAAAAACAGTATCAAATAGTAAACAACTCGATTTAGTTAAAAAATTCAGTTCTATATATTTTTAGTTTACATGAGCTTGGCTACTCAATCCCTACCAATGTACAATAATACATATATATAATTACAAAATGAAAAAATTCAGTGTGTCATACATTATAATAACACTACTGACAAAAAATTAAGAAACGATAATCATTTTAATTATTATAATTAGACCTTGTGACGGAATCTAGATGTGTGCGTTTCAAGGTAGTGATACAAAAAGTATTCAATGTGTAATGTTATGCATTATACCTAATGATGTTAATGATAATAAAAATGTTTTCCTCTCGAGTTTGGTAATAACGAAAATACATAACATGTATTGTGTACATAAACCAACTAATTAAAATATGTTACGTTGCGTCCATAATATATTTATAATAATAATAGTTATTATTATATTATTACTAATTTACAATATCGCTTTTAGATAAGATAATGGTTTAAGTTACTTATATCTTGTTACTCATTTTTAAAATTACTTATTCATGTAATTTATCATCAGTTTTGCTAGCATATTTTCATTATCGATTACAGTACAAATTATATCAGGTAAATTTACTAATAACTGTGAAGCATGATCGCTCTTTTTACTGTTTGTATAAAAATAAAAATTTTCTATATATATATTATTAAGGCTTTAGATTTTCTGGTTTTGGGTTTTCGGACGTTTATACCAAAATCAATTGAATTGTGCTTGTTAAAATATTATTTTTACGTTTTACTTTCGATTAAATTTCTCTTGATGCATGCAAATGTATTGCTAAAATAAATTAACAAATCTCCATAATATAAGCACAACACTGAACTACTTCTGAAAGCTTTCTTGTATACTTCACATATTATAACATAATTTCAATAATTTTGATTACCATAGTATTACTTGAACAATAAATGTTTTGTGAGTAAAAGATCACTTAATACAAAATACTAACTTTTCAGGATAATTAATAAAAATCAAATATTTTTTGATATTTTCAAATATTTTTGGCTCCATTTGACGTTTCTTTTAAATATCTATAAGAATATGCAAAATAAAATACTTATGACCTTTTAGTCGAACTTCGATCGTTCTAAATGATTTAATATAAAAAAAAATGTGAATAATTCATGGTTAATATTATAACTAAAGACCTTTTTATCACCTCGAAACATAACCAACAATCTTATTAATGAAAAACAACAAAATGTTCGTTTTAAAAATCTTAACTTAAACAGATTCCACTGACTTTATTATTTTTTAATTATTATTTACTAATTTTTAATGAATAAGTTTGTTTGTAGTCAATTAATCTTTTAATTGCCTAAACTATTATAATCACACAAAATAATACATTAATAATAGATTATGTGTTTTTTGGTAGATAACGTTTTTCTGTGCAAACTTAAATGTATTTATGTATCATATTTATATCTTTTTGCTTAAATAAGGTTTAATTTTTTTATCATAAATGTTTTATTTTTTGTTGCAACTATCACTTGATTTGATTACACATTAATATTTTAAATTAATTTGTGATTTATATTCATATTGGATTCTTTACTTTTGCAATATTAGTTTCAGTGAATATGTTGTAGCTACTGGGCAATACAATATTCGATTAGAGTTAAATTAAGTATGTTTATATAATGTTAGACAAATAATGAATAAAATATTTTTTCAAGCTGTATTGCCTTTCATAAAAATGTTTCTTTAAGAAAATATGAAAATTAAGTATTGAACACAGTCATTATCTATGTGTTAACAGTTGTTTACAATACGCGACCTATTCGTCGACCTTGATCGAGAGTTGTTTCTTGCGTTTAGTGTAAAATGAATCAATACAAAGGTAAGGTACAACGTTAAAATGTTTGTAACATAGTAAAAAAAAAAATACATTTCACGAATACAACTTCAACAATAAAAAATACCGGTTTTTTTAAAGAACTTAACTATAAATTATTCAAAAGTTATTGTTGTACTAAAACAACTAACTTATAGCTGAAGTTGAATAACTAATATGTTACTATTGCTTTCGTTATAAATAACTTTCAACAATGGCCAGACGAAATCAATAGTTCTAAAAAGTCACATAGGACATACATTTTTAATATATATATATTTACTTAACAATGAGTATCTTTAAATGTCATTTAATTTTAATCAAATAGAAAAAATATCGATAATTAATAAAAATATTATTAATAGTCTTTGTGTATGGCTGGCCTCATAAGCCACCCATAAAAAAAGTCACTGAAATGCGACAAAAAATCACTCCCATATCTACCAATATATGTACAAAACTGGTGAAACATTTGAGTAGGTTAGTAACATTTTGGCGCCTTTACTACGCTCCTCATGCCAAAAATATCTTAGGTTTCAAATGCAATGTATATATACATTATACATTCATATATTGTATTAAATATCATTAATACTTTAAGTTGACATCCCTGATAAGATTTTTTGTCGAATAGCTCGTATATTAGGTTTTTTTGTCCTTTTATTTTTAAGTGATTTCAACGTAATCATATCATACTCTTTATGTAATCATTACAGAGAATATATACTTCATAAATTTGCATAAATATGTATTTATAAAACGTTTTTCAAGATTCAGACTAATTCATAAAACCAGCAGACATTTTTAAAGACAAATTAAAACCACGGACCTTGTAATGTCCAATTTAGGAACTAGTTGACTAGGTTTGGCTTTTTTTTTAAACGAATAGACAAAAATAAATTTAATGTAATAAACATAAGAAACTGAAATTCTAATAACTTCAACATTACTTGTTTAGCCATGTTTAAACAATTATGGTATTACTACAGTATTCCAGTGGAATAATTGTTTTAATAATTTTCCTAAACCTTTCAAAAAAATATGCTTTTAAACTATTTACTACACAAAACGTTTATGTGTAATTTATAGCCTTGCAATATGTATTTGTTTACAAGGGCACTTAGTTTACACAATAGGTTATTGAACACATTTCGAGTAAAAAGTTTACAAATTAGTAACACGTTTCATGTGGTAAACTAGAGGTTTTTTTTAAGGAAATTGACTTTTGCGTTCAATTAATATATCTGTCATCGTGTTCATTTTTAAAACGAAAAAAATTCCATCGCTAATATGACGCATACATCAACTATATAAGACCTTGACCGGCTAATGATGTTGATGGTTCGGTTTAATTTTTATATTGAAGTTTTGTTTGCGTCAGCGGTGAGCTAGTTCAAAGGCCAGAAAAAAGAACATGATTAATTATTAGTTTAGTTATTACCTAATGAGAAATTAAAGAGAAAAATTTGGGTAGAAGGACTTTCACTTAATTTCACAATTTCAGCGTCTTATACTTAAAATATTTAAATTGTATACTTTAAACTCTAAAAATTATACTTTCAGGAAGCAGTAAATTTTGAATAAAATACTAGAAAACATTGAAAATTCTTAGAATAATGTTTAAAAGAATTAACAGTGATGTATACATAAAATATTGAAGTCTTAATATTATTTGCCATGCTTAAATTAATTTTTAACTTACAAATTTTTTAATTTTATGTGATTTTTTAAAACAAAATTATTTTATCGTTATACCCGATAAAAAATTGTATTAAATATCTATATGCGTAAGTAGCAATCGCGTCATATCCAAAATCCAAATTAGTTTATTATGCATACACACAGTAATTCAAGGTCTTGGTCATCATTTAGTAAACTTTATTTATAGTTCATACCAACGTGCAACATGATCTTATCACTTATCACAAATTATCAAAATAAGAACAAGTATATGACGCGGTTGCATTAATTTAACTTTAATCCGTAAATAATCTATTTAACATTCAACGAGTATTTATTCCAAATCCAACATGAGGTCATTTTTATGGAAAAATAAACAGTGTTACAATGAGTAAATACTTATTAATTAAAATTAATCATTTTTTAAATATTCATATTATGTTATGTACGCTTTAAGCTATAAATTATTGAATACAGATGAATGCTCAAAAATAATATAAACATTAAATTTATATTTTTTAAATATGAATGTTAAATTTGTAATTTAAAAAAATAGTGCATTAAATATAATGTTATATTAAACTTGACAGTATCATATACTTCATTAAAATTGAAATATTCTAGTCCAATACTATTTGAATCACTTTTGAAATGGATATATTTATCATTTTACACCAGTATAACTCCTATATGTTCAATTTTCCAAAATTTATTAATTGGGTTACTTCTGAACGAGTTTGTCAAGTTCAATGAATTAAATTTGTCGAAAAAATAAAAAACAACTGGTTATTTTACAAGACATTTTTTTTTTAATCAAGTAGAATATTTCAATAGACTAACGGTTAAATAGAATAAGTATTCAATTTCTTATCATGTTAAAGGTATAAGAAACAAATATATAAAAACACAATATTTCAATTTAAAAAAT